CATTATATTAATTTTTTTAAAAATATATTAACTACAAATTAATTAAATATTAAATAATTAAATATAGTTATGTGATATTTTTAAGGAATAAATATATAAATGATTAAACATATGATAGTAATAAGTGATGTGATTTGACGTTTAAGTCTGATCAAATGATGATAAATGAGATAAGTGATTGGTGATGGTTTTAAGGGAGAAAATATGACTGGGACAAAATTCAAATACACTCCTATTTTATTTTATATATATATATATATATATATATATATATATATATATATATATATATATATATCACTTTTTTTTTGTTTCAGTGTGACTACAATATTCCTATATAAATTCAAAAATTACCTCAATTTAAAAGCACTCTATAATGTTCTTTATTCCATTTTTGCCCCTCAAAAGTATTTTTTTACCCTTTTATTTCACTTTCACCTCAAAAACTTGATGATCCACTATATATCACTCACAATTCCATCTATCATCTTCCTTACTATTTCTAAATTTGTTTTAGCTATATTACTACTTGGAGTAAATTATGAGTAAAAAGAGAAGAAAAAACTCTAGCAAAACCTTTCTAGTTTAAGTAATCTTAAAAACTCAAAGTTTAAATTTTACGTAAAACTCTATCCCTTACATTTGTTCTTCTCCATCTAAATTTCTGACTCATTGATTTTTCCGTTTTGATTAATAGACAATGATGTTACCAAGAATTAGAGAGAGTACCTAAGCTCAACATAAATCCAAAAAATTACAGGAAACTTGAAAAAAATGTCACACTTTTTACGAAACTTTTTTGAGCAAAAAGAAACATAAAATAGTATAAATATGTCATTGCAACCAACCAATAAAAACAAACAAAAATAATTCATAAAAAGTCAAATATTAGTTATCTATAGTTTTTTTTGATCGGATAGTTATCTATAGTTGAGTAAGAAGATTTTGAACAATCGTTTCTAATCGCTCTAATCGGGCGATTAATAAAGCTATGGAGTGCTTGGCAACCTGCTGGCGGATTGGATTGATTTGGATTTAAATCTCAAACATATCCAATGAAATCCCCTGTAAGCCGGCTATAATATAGGATTAGAAAATTTAATTTTATCCAATCCTTGATTTGGATAATAATTTATGATATTGTGAGGCCCATGGATAAACCAATTTTTTTTTTTTTTTGGGGTTAAATCTCATAACTTTAACATTAATTTAGCATCTTACCCTTAAATCCTATTCAAATATATCTCATATTTGGCTTGGCAATGCTTGATTACCACTTTAATATTGAATTAAAAATTTATAACTAGGTAGTTATTATAAAAAAAATAAATAAGTTTTTTGTGTGCCACTGTAAACAATTTTAAAATAGTCGACCACAAATATATTTGATTCACCCAAAATTTTGTACTGAAATTAATTAACAAAAGATATTGACAAAGCAATGCAATAGCCAAATTTTAATAAACATGAGAATCAATTGGTATATCACTTGTATATTAAACAATCAATTCTAGTACAATTTATCGTGACTTTACCAAAATTCAGAGCCTCAAAACCTAACAAATTAACAACACACTACCCAACACAGATGACTCATAATTTTTTCCCACTATCAAACACCTGTATATGCGAGAGAGTGAGAATCTGTTTGTGTGCTTGTGACTCTGAATCGTTGTGTGTGTTTGAATCCCTGTGTGAGAGATATCTTCGGTGGGGGAGAGAGATAACAGAGACGAAAAGAACATGACGAACAAATGGGGAAGGAGAGACAGAGGGAGAGTCATTGGTCATGAGCTTCTGACAGAACTAGTATCGCCAATCGTTATCAAAAGCTACTCCACCATTTGGGTTGGAATGAAGATATGAAGCATTAGTGGCTGTGCGTGCTGATTTTTACACAACAATAGAAGTAGGAACAGATCTCTCCCACGATGAACTGTGATTTGAGAAGATAATAATTCTGATGGAACGGAGGGTTTTGCTTTCAGGATTTTTGATCACCCCTGGTAGAGATTTGATCCATCCAAAAGTGGTTTTTGGCAACAAGAAGTAGGTTGAGAAGGACAAAGGGGCCCTAAGGACTGGTGATGAATTGTTTGTTGGGTCACGCTAACCGGTCCTGGAAGACTATAGGGGGATCTTATCACACAGAAAAATAGGTTAGAAGGGTGTCAAAGTGCTCCTCGGCATATCCCCTCCGACGATCAAGTCAGTTATTTAAGAGAGGGGAATCAGAAAGCACTGTAGTTATTTTTCAGAACTTCTTGTGTACCTTTTCAATGGTTTTTGAGAACTATTTATACTTTCAAAAGTTCATGATTGCTAACAGTCAATTCAACAGATATTTATCAGAGATGGGGCAGTGTGCCTCTCACTTTTATGGGGAATGGGCTTTGCTTTAACTGATCGGGATGCCGAGCATTTAAAGCTCACTCCTCGGTCTACCGATCATTCAATTCCTCCTTCTCGGCCAGGATGCATTAAATGCCCAGGCATGGTGGTCTTTAATGCACTTTACTTCTCGGCTCCCATGCCTTAATTGCTGTCTCATCAGGAGGAGGATTCATTAAATGCTTACTTGCTCTAGTCGTGTGTCAGTAGGGGTATCCAGGTCTTTTTGTTATTGATTTGATATCAAATTCCACGCCTCCTACCCTCCTTGGTTGCATGTGTTTGCATTCTTATGCCCCTTGACACCATCGAGCAGAACGTCTTCATGATGATTAGCCTAGCTTGGCCTAGGCTAGCCATCTGTCAATTATTAACTTTTGCAAAAGCAGATGAGAGGTGGGATCCAGCGTACAAAAGGAATACTTCGACACCGAGGAATATTTGTCTATCTTGGAGTCAAGGGTTCTTGTCGAGCTGAGGACACGTGTGTTGACCACTTTGATTAGGGATCCCTCGGCTCCGAGCACTATCACCTCGGCTGATGGGGATGAGTGTCGTCGAGGACACGTGACCATTCCTGGCTGAAAATATAACGATGCCGAGGACACGTGTCCCCCCGATCTGTCTCTTTCTAGAAATGTCCCATCAGTGGCCAAGGATCTGCAATGATAGGTGGAGGTATCTCCGATAGGTTGAGTGTCAATGCTGCAATAGTGGGTTTGTTATGATAATATGTTTTCGTGCTTGTAAAAGAGATGAATTGAAGAGGGTTTCAGTTGAGACGAATAGATGACAAGAGAGAGAGAGAGAACCATACCTAGAAGAAAAATTGTTGCCTTATTCTCTATGGATGAGAAGGGGGAAAACGAGAGTGAAAGGAGTAAAAACCCTAGAAATTAACTACGCAAGGGTGTTTTGTAAAATTACAGGTGTATCATGTTGACAAAATTTCAATCCACCTACCCCATGGGTTTCATATATCCAATTTATATGAGATCTTTGCCTTCAATTCATATGGTCGATAAATTCACACCCAACAATTATCTCAACCATTTTAATAGACCCAAACGAGGGATATGTGGGCCCATAATCCCCCGTATTGTCTGCCTTTATCTTTTAAAACAAACAACCTTAAAGTGTTATAAAACTTTTTAGAAATAATTACACTCAAACCCCTTAATACTTGTTATTTAATCATTTAAATATCTTGATATTTGAAATATTAGATATAGACCCCTTAAGGTTTATACGTGTATAACACATCTATTAGTAAATCACACCTAAATTTCCTAAAATTCATAAATTTGTAACACTTAAACCTCTCAAATTTAAAATATTACACTTAGACCCTTTATCAATTACAAAACTAATGAAACTTATTAAACAACTAAATTACCCCAATTAAAAATAGAATATAATGTGTTTATTACAGTTTGACCCTTGATTGATTTTTTTAGTTTTATTTCACTAGATAATATAATTGTATGAAAATGAGTGTTGAATTGATTTCTTTGATATATTTATACTGATTATTATTTTATTCTAAAAAATTTGAAATTTTATTTGGGTTTTATGTCAATGGATGATATAATGAAATATGTAAATGTGTTGATTATTTCATATTTTTGTACTTGATGATGAAAAAATTGACCCAAGGTGAAAAGTCCATTTAGTCCAAGATGCTTCAAGTATGCCATTTTTAACTTTTAAACACAGTTCATACCTTTGAGTCACTTACTAACTTATTCATCAAAAACTTTTAAACACAGCTCCACTCCGGTCTCCAATTTTTTTTAAGTGATCAAAGTCTAACAAACTGACGTGAATGTTATCCAAATTTCGGCATCAACAGTACTAATTATAATTTTTTTTTGAAAAATAAATTTTTATTTTTGATTTTATCTTAATAAATGACATAATAGAATATGTACATTAGTTGTAAAATTTAAAATATTTGATATTCCATATTTAATTAAAGTATTTTTTATAAAAGTGTAACATTTTAAATTTGATAAGTTTAAGTATTACCCGTTTCAAATTTCAAGGGTATGAATTTAATTTATTAACGGATATACTAATGGATATTTAGGGCTATGTGTTACGCGCATATAAACTTCAGGGATTCTATGTGTAATATTTCAAATATCAGGGGTCTAAGTACTTAAATGACAAACTTCAGAGAGTCTAGATGTAATTATCCCAACTTTAAAGGGTTTTTTCTTAATTTTATTTTGAAGCATTTTTGAAGTAGAATTTGTTTTATATTTTTTTTAAATCCAGATTTATCTTAAAATTTTAAACTTAATCATATATATATTAATATACAAACATGTATAGGAATAGGAGTACATTTTGTAAGAGAAAAATAATAAAATTAATTTTTTAAAAAAATTATAAAAAAAAATAAAATAAATTCAAACGCTGCATAATTTTTGGAATTCATAAAGAGTGTGTATCGTTGATAAACCTTGATGGCACTGAGTGTAATTTGCCATAAGAGAAAGAAAAGTAGAATTATGGTGGTGAGTGTAAAATTTCTTCGCATAACAAGCAAAAGACCCTAACTCCCAGAATATTCTTCCCTTGTCCGTCCACACTGCTCAAATTTGGACTTCCATTTCCATCCTCTCCACAGTAGAGGTCTACAGAGGATAGAAAACCAGACTGAGAGAGAGAGAGCCCCCACGATTTTAAGACTATATATGCGTGCTCAATAAGCCGTTTTGTTCTTCACACATTGCACCCACAAAAATCATCGAACCATTTTTGAATTCCACATCTTTACGTCGCTCTCACACCTCCTTCAGATCTGAACTTGAACTTGCAGCTCTCATTTCTCTCTATTTTCAACATACATTGCAAATTATTCATCAAATTCATCAATTTCTCACATTTTCCACGCATAATTCCGCTGATCTACCCACTTTACTATTCCCACTTGCATAATTCAGTGTCATTTACAGTCCGATCTACATACCCATATCAGGGAATGAGCTAATATATAGGTCCTACAGTTATACATATAGCCTACCTATATATATAAATAAATAGAGGTGTATGGCAATGCCATCAGGAAATGGGGTTGTTTCCGATAAAATGCTGGGCGGCGGTGGTGATGGTGTTGGAGAAATGGTGAACCACCAGAGGCAGTGGTTTATAGATGAGAGAGATGGGATTATATCGTGGTTGCGCGGGGAATTTGCGGCGGCGAATGCGATAATTGACGCTTTATGCAACCATTTGAGACTAATCGGTGAGCCGGGTGAGTACGATGGAGTTGTAGGGTGTATACAGCAGAGGAGGTGTAATTGGAGCGCGGTGTTACATATGCAGCAGTACTTTTCGGTGGCGGAGGTGTTGTATGCGCTGCAACAGGTTAGTTGGAGGAGGCAGCAGAGGTATTTTGAGCCGGCGAAGGTGCAGGGGAAGGAGTTTAGGAGGGGTGGCGCAGGTGGGTATAAAAAGCAAGAACAACAGAGAGTTGAAATTGTAAAGGAAGAGTATGTGAATGCCAATGATTCTGAGAATTTGGTAGGGTTGGAGAAAGGAGAAGAGATTGCCAAAGGGGAGGATAAGAGTGTGGCATTTGAGGAAGAGAAGAAAGGTAAATATATAATGTGGGTAGAGTTTTTCTGAAGTGGATTTGTTCTTAGCTGTGTTTAATTAATGATTGGCGTTTGTACTTTAAGGAAATTTAACCTTTTTAGCTTTTTGTTGCAATGAGGTTGATTATTTTGTCTTTGTAATGCATGTTTATCTGTGTGCTATATATGTGTTCTTTCTATATTGGTTTGTTAGGAAGAGTGAATAAAACTGTTTTGGTGGGAAGGAGTTTAGGAATCCTGGTGGGTTAGGGTAATAGGCTTTTGGACAATAGAGATGTGAGGTTGTGATGGAGGATCTGGGTCTGAATTTTAGGGTGGAGTCACATAGTTCAGATTTGAATGCATATGCAAATTCGGGAATTCCATGGGACTGGAGAAAGGGGAGACAGTGAATCAAAAAGGGAAGAAGGATAAGTGTATGCTGAGTCTGAGAAATTGGTTGATATGGATGTGGGAGTTGGGGAGGAAAAGAAAGGCAACTATCGATTGCGGATTTAATTTCCCTGACAGGAATTGATAATTAGTTGTAGTTTTATGCTCTGGTAATTGGATTTTAGTTTATAAATGATGGGTCTTTATGTTCTGATTGAATTTGGAGGTTTTTTTTGAAGACGAGGTTGGTTGTTTCTTATTTATGAAGCATGTTTAACAGGTGTCATCTTTTTATGTTTTCTCCATGATGGTATGTAAGGAAGGCTAGGAAAAGCATTTTTTTGTGTGTCTTGTGATTTTTGAATGACTAATATTCATATAGTTCTAGAGGACCTTTAAAGTTGGATGTCTTATCTAATTGTCTGCTTGTGTACCTTCAACTGCAATCCTTGTGATAATGGCACAAACTCTGGGGAAATGTTGAGAACTGCTGTTTGGTTGCTGTGCAATCGTATGAAGTTGTTTGACCCTGGGGTAATTGGGTCTGTGTTCGACTTATAAGAGGATATGCAAGATGTTTTTTGTGAAAGATTCAATGTTATTTTGATTAGTAAAAAACTATGAGAACATGACAATGTATGGATTTCTTGTGACACATTTACAGATGTTCTATTTTTCTCCACTCAGAAACATGCTTTAACATGTTACAAGATGCCACATATGTGGGTATATGAGATGCAGGATTTAATTCTACTATAATTCTGTAACTTATAAAGGTCATATTTTCTTTAGAAGCACAAGATGAGGTCTGAAGGTTGAATCCTTATACACTTTTGAGTCCCCCTACCACCACCACAACCCCCCCAATAAAAAAAAAGAACTACTTGGCCAAGAGTATTTCATTTCCACATATAAATGCCAAGATCTATGTTCATGCGTAAGATATGAGGCCTAAATTCGGGAACTTGCTCTTATATTTAGCTCTATATTTTGTTTCTGCTTAAGGGAAAAAGCAAACAGTGATTCCCCTTCAGATAGAATTTTATCTCTGCCTCTTGATTTTGGTTTCACTACTATTACGTTTGATCTAACATAAAAGACTCAGGATCATAAAAATTATGTTGCAATTCTTGATCAATTTTGCATTTTCCCTTGTATTTGAGAAACATTTTCAAATTGTAGTAACTGTTAGTATTTGGTGCTGTAGCAGATGTGGTTGCAAAACCTCAAGTAGAGAGCTGTGTCAAGAGTACGGGAAACTCAGAAGTAGTGATTGCTGGCCATTCAGAATGTGAGGCAAATCATGTAGATGATGCATGCACCTCAAACTTAAGAGGTAGTTCTTTGCTTTGTGTTCTTGTTCTTATATTTTCTGTCTCTCTTTCGATCCCGTTGGATGTGAGCTGTTCTTTCTAAGTTTTAGTAACAAAACAGGTGGTTGTACTTTCTAGAATGCTTGTTAAATCCCCTTTTAACTAGTACTAGCATGCAGCATTTGGTGCTTGTTTATGCCTTGCCTTGACTCATGGTTGTAACAATAGTTCTGAACAGTATAGCTTTTAAAATTCAGGGGCGGATCTACCCATAGAAGCAAATAAGCATCATTCTTTTCAATTTTGCTCATTGAGCCCCTTTATTTTTGAAAATAATAAAATAGTCCTAGTTCCTTTTCATTTTAGTAAATCAGAAGTCCATTGACCTTCCTAATCCAATAAAACAAATATTTTATATTCACATATGTGAAATGCTATGTCCAAATTTTATATACTAAGTCAAGATAATGCCCCCTTTTATTAAATAGATTGGACCCAACTTTTTTTTGACAAGTTAGTAGTCCGTAAATTACTAAGATATGATTAGATGTAAATGATAAAATGTCTCAAGACTCTTAATACAAAACAATGTATTCCATTGTTCAAAGAATAAAATTTCTAAATCAAATGTGATGATTTCAATTAGATTTCACAATAAAATGAATGATGATTTTGTCATTGATTGTTTGATTGCATAAATTAAAAGGAAATTGCTAAACAATTTCGCATAGAATCAATTATAGACTATTTTGAAAAGTTAAAAACACGATGCATTCTGTATTAATATATGCTTAATATCACTTTCATTTTTATCTAGTAATTTATTTATAAATTGTAATATATTTCTCTTGCTTATATTTAGAAATTTACATATTAGTTGGTAAATAATTTATTCATGTTTTGGCCCCCATTAAAATTAAATTCTAGCTCTATTTCAATTTTGCATTTTCCCTTGTATTTGAGAAACTGCTAGTATTTGAACCTGTAGCAGATGTGGTTGCAAAACCTCAAGTAGAGAGAAGTGTCAAGAGTTCGGGAAACTCAGAAGTAATGATTGCTGGTGATTCAGAATGTGAGGCAAAGCATGTAGATGATGCATGCACCTCAAACTCAAGAGGTAGTTCTTTGTTCTGTGTTCTTGTTTTTGTTCTTATCTTTTCTCTGTCTCTTTCGATCCCGTTGGATGTGAGCTGTTCTTTCTAGGTTTTCATAACAAAACAGGTGGTTGTACCTTTTAGAATGCTTGTTAAATCCCCTATTAACTAATACTATGCAGCATTTGGTGGTTGTTTATGCCTTGCCTTGACTCATGGTTGTAACAATAGTTCTGAGCTGTATAGCTTTTAAAATTCATGCATTTTGTTCACAAGGAATTTGTAAAAGCATTTGTCCGTCCTATATCTCTCTCTTCGCTGCTGTTTGGAATTGTATTTGCACTTAATATGAAATTGCTAATTCTTATTTTTCTCTTTTGAAATTGCTAATTCTTTTATTCCTCTCTTTCTAAGGTTCTTGTAATATGCATCAGCAGAATGATTCGCAGTCCATACAAAGTCCGCATCAGAAGCAGAATCTGACAGTTATTCCAAAAACTTTTGTTGGCACCGAGATATTTGATGGAAAAACGGTAATATTATTTTTCTGTTGGGGGCATTTGTCTTGAAAATGAAGTTGAGACAAGCTACTAATTTTGGGCTTTTGTTTTCAAATTTCTACCTCTAATCTGCCCCAGCATTCTTTATAGGTTAATGTAGTTGATGGATTGAAATTGTATGAAGAACTATTTGATGAATCAGTAGTTTCAAAAATTGTTGTGTTGGTAAATGATTTGAGAGCTGCGGGGAGAAGAGGACAGTTACAAGGCAAGTTCTCCAATGCATTCTCTCTATTTGGACATGGCACATGTCTTTGTTCCTTTTCCTTTTGAATTTATGGACCATGGTTGTTTGGAAAGGGATTTTTTGCTTGGTAGTTCAGACTTCCATTTCATACCATCATAACTGCAAAACTTCAACTGAAACTTTTCTAATCTGTGTATTTTTTTTTACACTAACATATGGGTGGCATTCTCCGTGTGTATCTTTTCCCTGTCTGATAGCATGCATGAGTTTTCATTTATATGATTATGATGTTTGTGATCTATAGGACACAAGAAAAGAATCTCTCTCTCTCAATATTTGTATTGTTTCATGCTTTTAGTTGCTCTGCCTGTTTGATGGCCTATAAACACATTACGCCCAATTATTCCGTATAATGCTTGCATCCTCTATACATCTTTTGCAATACATAGCACTATTATCTAAAGGATCAGTTGTAGAATCACCTGGTCTGAAGCTATATGGTGCTGTTTGCTGGTCTTAGTAGGAAGAACGAGTGTTGAGTATCTTATTTGCTACTCACTGTTTTTACAGTTTCAATACATTTTTTTCCATCATTTCTTTCCTTCTTTAACAAGTACCTTTTTTTGAATATTAAAATTATTAGGCTTGGTGGAAGTAGTACTGGGTGGCACCTTTGTTTTCGTGCCAGTTTAACATTAATTATTGAATATTAGGTTTACCAAAGAAAGAGAAGGAGAAGGGAGACAGAGAGATTATGGAACAACATTATGAGAGATTATGGAACAATATTGTGAGTAGAATGTATGTTGCCAACACAACTATCACCTATTTATATTAGATTGAAGTTGAAGAAAATTACAATATCAGGAAAGTAAAATATATCGAAAAGTGACATAATGAGAAAAGAAAACATAATAGGAAAGTAGAGTAATATGAAAATAACACTTTTAACACTCTCCCTCAAGCTGGAGCATAGAGATAAAAATTGCACAACTTGGTTCAGAGGCTACTATAGGTGGACTGCACCAATATTTGGTAAGAATATGACCTAGTTGATCACCAAATTTTACATAAGGAGTGATAATCTTCGTTCGCATCAAGAGATTTCGAATATTAAGAGATGTCGAATAAAGTAATAATCAACTTCGATGTGTTTGGTATGCTCAGTGTTTTGAAAAGCGTGCCTAGGTGATCAAGTAGGCAAGATGTGAGACCAGGCGATCTCAGGTCTCCTGGAACAGTCCAGGTGAAGCGACCTTTATAGAAGCAAGGAAAAAACGAGATTAGGCCAAGAGGCGAAGAAGCAAGTACTAGACTGAAATTTGTAATTTTCTGTCTTAAACTATTACGGGTCATTGAACCTTATCTATATATATGTAAAATAACCCTAATCAACAAATTGGCTTGATAAACTAGACGGAAAGCACCCATTAGATGGGAAACCACTCACCAGACAGATGCCGATGCCGACGGTATGTTCTCTTCTTCTTCTGATTCTTTCCTTTCTTGCGACACTCACCAGTGACCAGAGTACTAGACTGCTCCGGCATCAGACTGAGAAGCTCATAGTCAGACGTCGACGGAATGTTCTCTTCTCCTTCTTCTGATTATTCTTCTAATTTTTCTTCTTCTTCTGATTTTGTGATTCTTCTCTTCTACTTCTTCCCTTCTTCTTCTGATTTTCTGGTTCTTTTTCTTCTTCTCCCCCTTCTCTTCTACTTCTTCCACTCTTCTTCTGATTTGTCTGGTTCTTCTTTTTTGATTTTTCTAGTTCTTGTTCTTCTTCTCTTTTTCAACTTCTTCTCCTACTGGAACTCTATTTCTGTTTTTTTTTTTTGCTGTGATGCTGTATCTGTTGGAACCCTTGGAATCCTATTTCTGTTTTTTTTTTATGTGATGGTTTTGTGCTTCTGCTAGAATACTATTTCTGTTTTCTTTTTCTTTTTGCTTTGATGGTTTTACTGCTTCTACTCATCTTTTGGAACTATCTCTCTGTTTTTCTGTCATTTGTTCTTATGCTCATTTGTTGCTTCTGTCATTTGTTATGTTTTTTGGTCATTTGTTCTGCTTTCTGCTAAAACCCTTGGAATCCTGCTTCTGTTTTTCTGTCATTTGTTTTGCTTCTGCTCATATATTCTGGAATCATTGGATATTTGGATTATTGATTGCTGGTTTATTATTCTGTCTGATTATATTTTGGAATTATGGTTTTTGTTGCATTTGAATATTTAGTATTTGTGAAGTTAGAACTTGAATATTTAGAAATAATTACACTAATATATTTGCTTTCTTTAAATTGTTCACTTCGCCTCTCGCTTCTCGCCTAGGCATCAGGTGACTAGTTCCCTTCAGTTTGCTTTATGCGTTAAATAACACTCATAAAATATTAGATTACTGACAATAAAAATAGCTGCCTAGTTGTCACAATGCATCTACACAGGAAACGACACATCAACACCCATCTCATGAAATAAAAAGAGAACACATAACATCTCATTGCAATATGAGCCATGATACGATATTCAGCCTTTGCCCTAAAACGTGTCACCACATTTTGTTTCTTATTATGTCAAGTAACAAGATTACTATTAACAAATCTACAATAATCAAAACTCGAATGTCCGTTAACACGAATGCCCACTCACAGTCAGCATCAGAAAATCTAGTAACAATTAAGGATGAAGGCGGCCGGTAACAATCCTCTAGTAGGAGCTCCTTTCAAATACTGAAGAATACGACAAATAACTTTCCAATGGGGTTTACAAGGTATGTGCATAAACTGGCTAACACCAACAACATAAGTAATGTCAAGACGTGTATCTATGAGACAAATAGGCTTACCAAAAACCCTTCGATAATGCCCCAGTCCTAAAAAAAACTCGATTTTCAGTATCTAATTTGCTTGTTGGATCCATGTATCAGCTGGATATGCATCAAGGGTATCAATTTTAGAGAGTAACTCAAACACATACTTACGCTAGCATAAACTACTATTTCCCTTAGTTCGGGTTATTTTAATGCCAAAAAAGTATTAAAGGAGACCTAAGTCCTTGGTGTGAAACCATCTCTTCTCAAATAGGACTTAAAATGGGCAATTCCAGCTCAGCATTACCATATACAACAGTATCATTGGTACAGACAACTGAGGCTAAGACAATTTTGCATGTAAATGCATAATGATTCGAATTAGATCGCTGAAAGCCATACTGAAGCACAATTGCACTAAATTTGTCGAACTAAGCACGCGGTGACCGCTTTAGACCATTTAATGTTTTCTTCAAACCAACATACTAATTGTTCCTTCCTAAAGCAACACATCAATGCTAGTAAATAATATATACTTTTTCCCCTAGATCATCGTGTAAAAAGGTATTCTTTATATCTAGCTGAAATAAAGGTCAATCTAAACTCACTGCAACAGAAAGTAACACTCTAATAGAGTTAAGGCGAGCAATGAGTGAAAATGTTTCACAATAATTCACACCAGATGTCTGAATGTAGCCGTGGGCTACCTATATATATATATATTTTTTTTTTTTTTAAATGTAAGACTTACTTGAATTTTGTTGATTCAATCTCAAAAATTACAAGAATCAAAAAACAGAAACTATTTCTTAATAAACAGTAACTGCTTTAACAGAAAACAGAAAAATCTGTTACAAGTATCCCCCAGAAATTCTGTTACAATTAAATGTTTCATAACAGAATTTTTGCTACAAAAAACAGTTACAAAATACCAGACAAAACTGAAAATCCTCTTGTATAACTACTGCATTTCCTGCGTACAGCTGCCCATCAACTAGAGTCATTAAAGAGGTAAGGAACCTCTGATAACAACCCTTTTCAATCTGGCAGTAGGCAGAAACTTCTGATCCCTCTGCAACAACCTTCCAGCAAGTGGTAAAATCCCACATTCTGAAAAATCAGTAGATCTCTCATTCTGAACTGCAAAAGTTGCTAAAAAATCAGCTATTGTATTAGCTTCCCTGTATACATGCTTAATCACCTGCATAGCCTCAAACAAGTCCCTAATGCTCTCCAGAACAACCTTCAATCTCCATGGTACCTCTGTCATCCCCAACACAGATTCAATGAGAATCTGATATCCTGCAAATCCATACTCCCAGATCAAATTGAGCCCATCCAATAAAGCCAAAGATTCAGCTTTCATATTAGATCCCAGCCCATAAAAATTGGCAGCAGCTAATAGTACATGCCCTTTGTGATCCCTTAACACTATGCCACCACCAGACAGACCAGTCCTACCCTTGGAAGCCCCATCAATATTCAATTTCATTAAGCCTTCAGGAGGAGGCTCCCATTTAATCCATTTCACTCTATTTTCCATGACAAACAATGAACCAATCTTCAAATCAATCAACAGATCCTTTCCCACACCATCATCTGGTCTTTTAGGCTCAATCAGAACAGCCTGCAGCCTCAAAGCACTGACCACTTGCAAATATATAGCATATGAATTTAAAGAAACCCCCTCAACCCTCCTTCTACATCTTTCCCTCCACAAAGCCCAAAAAATCAAGAGTGATACTCCTCTAGCCAAACCATGACTTACAGATTGAGCCTTGAACCTCCTAACCAGTCTCAGAAATTTACATATAGGAGTTTCCCCAGCTAACACCTCAAAACCCATAACTGCAGCCATTCTATTCCATATAGCTTTAGCAAAAGGACAGTCAATGAATAGATGAGCAGTAGACAAACACAAATGACACCTACTTGCTAAGGCAACACCCACACCCTGCACCCTTGAATCCAGAGACAGAGCATCTTAGTAAATTTTCCATCCACAGAACTGAGCACGAGGAAAAAGTTTCTGACCACATATGCTCTTAGCAATAGCACTCTGCACCCCTTGCTGTCTAATTTGGTCCCAGGCAGACTTGACAGAAAAATTACCTGAGTTAGTATACTTCCAAACTCTTCTATCAGACTGTTCAGAAAGCACAAGTCTAGCACTCAGAATCTCAGACTGCAAATTAGGAGTAAATGAACCCATAACCTCCTCTAAACACCATTCATTATTAACCCATACCTCATCCAATCTAGGAAAAACCTGTGGCTGAAC